TTTTCTTTTCAGGTTCCCACCTCCACCCATACCCAATACCAACTCCTCTTTCCTTCACCTCCCATCCAAAAGAGTCAGAGCGTGTGTTTGGGCGAGACACTAGTGAGCGGGCCTCCCCGTGGTTCCCGTGGGCGTGGGGCGCGCGCTGCAGCCACAAAGGCAGGCGGCGCGCGCGTCACGGCTAAACCGCTCATCCTGCGAACACGTCCCGCAGGCGCTGCTGGATTTTTCCATCGCCCCTTTATCTGTCAGTAGTTGACAAACGGTAGAAGCAGATGGTAGCAAGTTGCGTATAGCCTTCACGGCTGAGGGAGCAAAGCGCGGCACCCTATAGGTGTCGGGCTTCACACTAACTGCTCCACCGCATACAGAACGTCGACATCCGCGAAGCTGCGCCGTCGCCCCGGAGAACCGATCTCCGCGGCACACCGTTACAGCGCTCGACCGCTCCGCAAAAACTCCGACGCATCCCGGCTCGCCGTCATGTAACGCCATTAAAGCCGTATTATTCCTCGAGTAACGGTTCTCCTCGCGCGACTAAAATTAAAGATCCGAGCGTCAACATCGCGCCGCAAGCATGAAACAATCGACGCGTCATAATACCGCCCGCGCCCCGCGGCCACCAGAGACCCCGCGGCACGAGATCCACCGCAACAAACGTTAACACGCTCGCACGCTCTTCACACTTATTTACATCTGCCCGAATCCGGACCACACCGACTCGCAGCTTATCCCGCACCGAACGCGAAATAGCGTTACAACTTTGCTTCCGCCGTCTTTTTTCCGAAATTCGAGGTTTTATTGTAAAAAACTGATTATATATTTATGATTCAAAGTATTATCCATCGCTGGTCACTTTCTCCCATCTTTCGGGCAGCGTACAAATCCCGCGTCGAAAAAACTGGTCATCTTTTGAAGCGATCAACGAATTGATTCAATTTTTTACTTCTTCATAAGACCGGAAGTGCTGGTCAGCCAGGTCGTGTGTCATTGATCGAAATAAGTGATAGTCAGAGGGAGCAACGTCTAGAGAATACGGCGGGTGAGGTAGGACTTCCCATTTCAACGTATGTCTTGACCACTTTGGCAACATGGGGTCGAGCATTGTTATGCTGCAAAATCACTTTATCGTGTCTCTCGTTGTATTGCGGCCGTTTATCTTTCAATGCTCGGCTCAAACGCATCAATTGCGTTCGATATAGATCGCCTGTGATCGTTTCAGTCGGTCTTTATAGCTCATAATACACTACGCCGAGCTGGTCCCACCAAATACAGAGCCTTACTAAATACCTTGGAGCCGTGAATATTCGGTTTAGCCGTCGACGTGGAAGCATGACCGGGAACTCACCATGATTTTCTGCGCTTGGGGTTATCGTAATGAACCCATTTTTCGTCTCCAGTCACAATGCGATGCAGAAATCCCTTCCGTCTTTGCCTTTCAAGCAGCTGTTCACAGCAAACAAACGCCGTTCAACATCTCTCGGCTTCAATTCGTATAGCACCCAATTTCCTTGCTTCTGAATCATTTCCATGGCTTTGAGGCATTTTGAAATGGCTTGTTGAGTCACTCCCAATGATCGTGCCAATTTTTCTAGATTTTGACACGAGTCCTGATCAAGTAATGCCTCCAATTCTGCATCTTCGAAAACTTTCTCTCTTCCACCGCTATGCCGGTCTTCGACGTCAAAATAACAGTTCTTGAAGCGTTGAAACCACTCGCGACACGTTCTTTCATTAATGACGGCCTCACCATAAGTATTTAAAAGCATTCGATGAGCCTTAGCTGCAGATTTCTTCATATTGAAGCAGAAAATTAAAATTTCCTGCAAATTACTAGAATTTGGCTCGTAAACTGACATTTTCAATTGAGAATAACTTTATGATGCAGACACAAATCGACTAATGTTTCTATGGGATTATGATGACAGATGCCCAAGTTTATTTTATGACGTCTATGATCTATTTATTTCGACCACCACTTACCGCTAAAGCTATCTATAGGAAAACGGCGGAAGCAAAATTGTACACCTAATATTTTTAAAACACATGTATCATTATAAAGTGTATATAATTTACTTTATTATTAATGTATTAGTTTTTAACATTACTTACGTATACACTTATTAAAATAATTAGAGATATTCTCACTTGTATAAGTTTCGCTTCCATATTTATGTTTTTCTTAATACCAAACGTGGCTAAATTATTTATTATTGTATTTGATTTTATCAATAGTTCATATGGCAGAGTTCCAGTATTAAATTGAAATAATATTAGTTTTATAGCTTTTTCACCAGCAATATAAATAATCTAAAATAAAAAGCATTTCGATAAAACATTAATAAAAACAATAACAGAAATGTCTAAAATACATTATAGGGATATCTTGAAGATATCATATATGCTGAATATATCTTCATATATTCTAGATATTTTCTAGGTGAATAACCTTACGATATATTTTCGACACTTTATTATATGGAAAGTAACAAATAAAATGAAAAATTAATAATATAAGCAATAAAATAAATTTAATAATAAATATCAGGACCTTGAATAAGTTTTCGCTGTTTTCCAACAAATGGCGTTACAAGAACTGCGTGTATTTTAAGATGGTAACGCATCTATAAGGAAGTACTATAAGCAAGCTTGAAATTCAGTGTATGTTATTTCGCCGATATGTAAACAACTTTTTTTTCATAGTGTTAAATATGTCGAGTTTTGTGCCAAAAAAAAGTATTTGCGGGAAATTTTACTGCACTACTTTATTAAAAAAAAATCTGCAGTTGAAGCACATAGAATTCTTGTTGAGACTTACGGCGACCATGCTCTGTCGTAAACAACATGCAGAGATTGGTTTAGACACTTCAAAAATAATGATTTTGACGTTGAAGATAAAGAACGTTCTGGTGCAGCGAAAAAGTTTGAAGACGAAGAATTGGAGACATTACTTCATGAAGACTCATGTCGGACGCTAGCTGAACTTGCAGAATCATTATGAGTTGATCACACAACAATTTCGAAACGTTTAAAAATATTAGGAATGATTCAAAAGCAAGGAGATTGGACGCCGTACGAGTTGAAGCCGAGAGACGTCGAACGGCGTCTGTTTACGTGTGAACAGCTGTTTCAACAGCAGAAAAGGAAAGGTTTTTAGCATCGTATCGTGACTGGCGATGAAAAGTGGATGCACTATGATAACCCTAAGCGTAAGAGATCGTGGCGTAAGCCCAGCCATGCATTAACATCGTCGGCAAAGCCGAATATTCATGGTTTGAAGCTTCTGCTCTGCATTTGGTGGGATCAGCTGGGTATAGTTTATTATGAGCTGCTCAAACCAAATGAAACCATCACGGAAGATCGCTATCGACTACAATTGATGCGTTTGAGCCGAGCATTGAAGGAAAAACAGCCGCTACACAAGCAGAGACACGACAAAATGATATTGCAACATGACAACGCTCGGCCACATATTGCACAACCGGTGAAAACCTAAATTGGAAACGCTTAAATGGGAAGTCCTACCCCACCCGCCGTATTCACCAGACATTGCCCCTTCCGATTATCACTTGTTCCGATCAATGGCACATGGCCTGGCTGAGCAGCACTTCCATTCTTATGAAGATGCCAAAAAATGGGTCGAATCTTGGATAACCTCAAAAGAAGTGTCGTTTTCCCGACGTGGAATTCAAATGCTACCAGAAAGATGGGAAAAAGTAGTGGCTAGCGATGAACAATACTTTCAGTGACATGTTTTTTACGACTTTTTTTAAAAATAAAGCATTAATTTTCAAGAAAAATCAGCGAGAACTTATTCAAGGTCCTAATATTAGTTTAATTAATATATTATAATATAAAAAATAATTTTGATTTGGTTTATTTATTTATTAACATTTTAATAACTTGGAAGAAATTTTGAATAATTGTTATTACAAGTTAATAGTTACTCAATTAGGTTGAAAATGGTCAGCGACGCGCGGGTGGCGGCCTCGGCCGTCCTCACGGCCAAGAGGACAGTCGTGAGGAGGGCCATCGCCAAGGCCAAGGCCCTGGCCTGGGAAGATCTCATTTCCTCGGTGGACCGGGATCCGTGGGGGCGCCCATACAGGATGGTCATGCAGCGTCTGCGCCCATGGGCGCCCCGCTAACGGATACCCTGGACCCCGGGCTTCTTGACAGAATTGTGGAGGGGCTGTTCCTGAGGGTGGGAAACTGCATCTCATCCTACACGGGACCTCCTCCCGACTGGGAGGAGGGGGAGCTCGGGGTAACGGTAGAGGAGATGAAGCGAGCCGTCAAGAGGCTCGGCGCCAAGGGAAAAGCGCCGGACTCCGTCGGCATCCCAGGCCGTGTATGGGCTCTGGCCATTGCCGAAGAGGGGAGGGTGGGGGCTCGCATGATGCGGCTCTTTACCCTCTGCCTTGGAGCTGGCCTGTTTCTGGCCCCGTGGAAGAGGGCCAGACTGGCCCTCTTACGCAAGGAGGGCAAGCCGGAGGACACCCCTTCCGCATATAGACTGTTATGTCTTCTGGACAAGGCGGGTAAAATGTTTGAGAAGATCATACAGGCCCGCCTCGTCCGACACCTGTCCTGGGATGGTCCCGCGCTGGACGACGCGCAGTTTGGCTTCCGAGAGGGCCGATCGACCGTTGGACGTGATCAAGTGCGTCAGGGCCCTCTCTGAGGCATCATGGAGGAGGGGGTGGAGGTGGTAGCGTTGGCTATCTCAATAGACATAGCCAACGCCTTTAACACCCTCCCCTGGGACCAGGTGGAGGTGGGGGTGGCCTATTTCAGGTGCCCGCTCTACCTGGCCCACATCATCAGGGACTATTTCTGGGACAGACAATTGGAGTTCCGCAATAATGCGGAGCTCCAATGCGGAAGGGGGGTGTACTGCGGTGTTCTGCAGAGGTCAGTGATCGGCCCCTTATTGTGGAGCATCGCGTACGACTAGGTTCTCCGAACTGCCCTCCCTCCCGGCTGCTGTGTCGTGTGCTATGCGGAAGATACCTTGGTGCTGGCCGTGGGACGGGGCTGGAAGCGGGCCAGGGACATGGGGCAACCGGCCCTCGAACAGGTTGTACACTCCATCCGGAGCATGGAGGTGTCCCCCGAAAACGGAAGCTTTGTTCTTCCATGACGGGAGCAGGGGGAGACCGCCTTGGCTGAAGCTCCGGATTGGTGGGATCTCCGTGAGGGTAGGCACCGAGATGAAATATCTCGGGCTCACCCTGGATGACACTTGGGGGTTCGAGAAACACTTTGAGGTGTTAACCCCCAACTTGGGCAGGGTGGCAGGCATGCTGGGAGCCCTTCGTCGGCCAATGTTGGCGACCCGAAAAGGTAAGCTAGACGGCTGTTCGCGAACGTGGTCCACTCGGTGGCCCTGTAGAGGGCCCCGGCTGGGCGGGGGAGATGACCGGGTTCCGGAGGATCAAACAAAGGGTCCGCCGGGCCCAAAGATTCATGGCCACTCGCCTCGCCCGTGCCTATAGGACCACGTCGCACGCGGCCGCCACGGCCCTGGCAGGAATTCCCCCGGTGGAGCTCCTTGCAATGATGTACGCTAAAAATTATCGGCGTACGAGGGAGCTCCTCGGGGGGAGCAACGGGATAGGATTAGCCAGAGCCATAGTCCTTGCTGGGGAGCAGGCCCGTCAACGCCTCCTTCTCCGCTGGAACATCCAGCTGGGGGAGGCAACGGGCCGCTCCGGGAATAGGGTCGCCGACGCCATCCGGCCTCGCATATAGGAATGTGTAGGCACGGCCCCCACGGAGAGCTCACATTCCGGACCACACAGGTACTCACCGGCCACGGGTGCTTCGGTGAGTACCTCTATAGGATCGTCCGGAAGGAGTGCACCAGCCGCTGCCACCACTGCAGTGCGGCTGAGGACGCGGCGCAACATACGCTGGGCGAATGCCCGGCGTGGGAAGGACAGCGCCGTGTCCTCATAAGCGTGGTGGGAGCGGACCTCTCGCCCCCGGTCCTCATTAGGGCCACGCTAAGGAGGCGAGAGGCCTGGGCAGCTGTTACCTCCTTCTGCAAGGAAGTAATGTTGCGGAAGGAGAAGCAGGAGAGGGCCAGACGGGAGAAGACAATCGTGGATGGGTGGCGGACTCGCCGCGCCCTCCGCCCTGGCTGGCACACCTCTTGGGTGTGCTGGCACACGCCAGAAGAGCTCAGGCCGGCGCGGCGGGGAGGGTAGTTCCCTCTCTTGGGGCTGTGCCCAGTGGCCCGCTTTCTCAAAGAAGGTGGCGGGCCGAGGAGAGACGCCAGAGGAGGGAGGCCGCCGCCGCAAGAGCAGCTGAGGCTCGCAGGCGGCGGCTCTAGTCCCTCCGTGACCGGCGCCGCCAAGGTATGGAGGCAGCGCCGAGAACGGCTGGCGTGGGAGAGGAGGCAGGGTAATGGCGGTGCGCGCCCTTCCTTCGGGGGGGGGGGGCATTTCGGGCACACTCGCCGCCGCCCTCCCGCTGTCTTGGGAGAGGGAGATCCTAACGACGCCAGGAGCGGTTAGCGGGGGGGGGGGAGAGGGCCGCTGTAGGCCTGCTCCTCCCCCCCAGTAA